GACAGTGTCATCGATGCAACGAACATGAAATTGAGCCAACTTCAGAGGACAGCGGAAGACAGGAGGGCCTGGCGGGAGCTGGTCCATGGGGTCGCAAAGAGTCGGACTCGACTGTGCGACTGAACAACATTGTTTTCCCCTGCTTTGTTGGGTTTACCCGAACCCTTCATTGCGCGCATTACTGATACTTTGCTGTGTTTTAAGCGACATGATTGTCTTGTGTATTTCAACTTTCTGTAGTACAAAAGTATTCCGTGCAACTGAGTTAGCCGATAGAGCCTCAGTGACTGCTAGAGTGGTTGTTTTATTCCAGCTTGTGCAGGTTTTTGTGTAGCATTCTTGTCTGCAGATGTGGACTGGGATCCAGACAGGTATGCGTGCCAGACTCATGCATGCAACTCTGCCTTTTCCTTCTTTGTCAACCCCACAGGCCTGCCAGCAGAGTAGTTCTGAAACGAGAGAGAGTTTTAAAAGAGAGGCCGTTGTGTTGAAAAAGAAATTTAAAAAGCTGGGTAACTGGAGTTCCATGTAGAGTTGCCAGATCCCCTCCTCGCTTCAGCAGGTGGATTTGGAGGGTGTTTTGAGGTGGGTGAGGACGCACCCTCCCTCCCTTCTGCTAGATTTAAAGGGCCTTCCAGCTGATCGGTGGGCCATGTGCTCCCCGACGATCAGCTGAAGCTGAGGGCCAGTTTGGTGTAGTTGTTAAGTGCACGGACTCTAATCTGGGAGAACCGGGTTTGGTTCCCCACTCCTCCACTTGCAGCTGCTGGATGACCTTGGGCAAGCCATAGTTCTGTCCGAGCTGTTCTTGAAAGAGCAGTCTCTGTCAGAGCTGTTCTTGAAAGAGCAGTTTCTGTCAGAGCTCCCTCAGCCCCACCTACCTCACAGGGTGTCTGTTGTGGGGTGGGGAAGGGAAAGGAGTTTATAAACTGTGAAGGGTGGAGTATAAATCCAATCTCCTCCTCTTCTTCTTCTTCAAATCTGGCAGGAGGGGAGGGAGAGGGGTGGCCGGGCGGGTGGTTGGTCTTGGGGGCGGGACTTGGGGGCAGGGCTTCCCCTGCTGGCCAACTGGCCAGGGACAGATTGGAGCCCCCAAAAGCGGGGGGACCCCTGCCCGGACCTGGGGACTGGCCACCCTAGTTCCAAGACTTGGATCCTAATTAGATGGGGGGGGCTATTTCCCATGACTCACCTGCACTGAAGATCTCCAGCCCCCCAAGTATTTCTTGGGGTTCCTTATCCTCCTGCAGCTACATGGAGGGGTACGCTTTGGATTGCCTCAGGAAGGGGTATTGGCAAAAATCCCCCCCCCAATACCTGCAGAAATCTAGGCAGGTCTAACTCCATATATACAACTGGCTGGATTAAAGTGGTGCTATATTTTTAAAGGCCTGACCTGTCGACAGTTCTGTTAACAGATGGGGTCCCCCCCCTCCGGATTGTCTTGCTTGAAATGTCTATGGACTTTGACTGCGGCATCCGAGTGGAATGCTCGCTGGGCACCTGGGAAAGCAGCACAGTCATCCTTCGTTTTCAGAGCCGCTGGGGACGCTTTTGCATGGCCTCCTGCAAACACGGCAGGTCTGGGTCTCATTGCGCATTCTGTTTTCAGGACAGCGGCCACGATGTCGTCCGAAGAAAAGAAGGACCGGCCGGTAAACATGATCAGCGAAGCCGCGCACTACAATTTGACGTCTGATTATTCTGCACACCCGATGAGTCCTCTGGGCAGAGTAAGTTGTTATATCCAGCATACATTATTTATTAGAGCCAAATTGTTCAGCTTCTCAGAGCAACGTGGAGCCGCAACATGATTACGTAGACGTTTTTAGGGAATCGTCTCATTTTAGGAACAAAAGAAACACCTTCTGCTCTGTGATTTTTAGGGTTGCCAGCTCCGGGTTGGGAAACACCCGGAGATTTTGGGGGTGGAGCCTGAAGAGGGCGGGGTTTGGGGAGGGGAGGGGCTTCGATTGGGTATAATGCCATAGAGTCCACCCTCCAGAGCGGCCATTTTCTCCCGGGGAACTGATCTCTGTCTCCCGAAGGTCGCTTGTAACGCCAGGCAATCTCCAGCCACTCCCCAGAGGTTGGCAACCAACAATCCCTCTAAGCGGTGGAGTCTTATGAGCAAAAATTCTACTTTGCGAGCTACTGGCATTAAAGTTGTGAGCGAGCCATTTGCCTGCTGCCTAAATCAGCTTGCTCTGCAGACGTCCTTCATGAGCGAAGACGAAAATGCGTGAGCCGGAGACTAAAAAACCTGTGAGCCGGCTCACACCAACTCAGTTTAGAGGGAGCACTGTTGGGAACCCTAGGTGACTTTTAGTTTGCAACTGAAGCGTCTGAGAATTACTATCCAAACATCCCTTGAACAGCCCGATGTTATTTACTCACCTGGCAGGGGAGACTCTGTGATCACAATGTTATATACTTCCTAAAATCATAGGGGCCGCAAAGCACCTGCCAAACTTGTCCAGCCCCCTCTTCTCTTTAAACCAGGATCAAACTGCACTCCTGCCATTCGGGTCACCAAGTGAGTTCACGCCTGAGGTATCTGACAACTTGACAGCTCCCACTTTTTTCTTCTCTCTGTCTCTGTCTCTCTCTCTCTCTCTCTCTCCCTCCCTCTCAAAGCAAGGGCATAGCCTCCCCGTGTCCATTCTCTTGGGACTGCTTCTCTTACTTTCCGAGATGCTGGCACCTGGAGAGAGTCCCTCTCGTGTCTGAAGACTGCTAGATGGGAATGACTAGTACTTATTTTTAGCTGACAGCAAGCCACGTACTGCTGGTCCTCTCGAACCAAGCGCCTTTTCCTGAGCAAGATCAGCGCGTTAATTCCAATAGGATAGATTAGAAGACACGTGTGACTTCTTGGAGCGGTTTCAATGTTCCCTCTAAGATGTGCAGTCTTGTGAGCAAAAATTCGACTTTGTGAGCTCCTTGCATTAAAGTGGTGAGCGAGCCATTTGGCTACAGCATAAATCAGTTTGCTCTGGAGCCCCCCCTCTTGAGCGAAGACGAAAATGTGTGAGCCGGAGGCTAAAAAACTGTGAGCTGGCTCACATTAACTCAGCTTAGAGGGAACACTGGTTTCCATGTCTCTGAATTTCAGTGCAAAGCTCCTTTTCTTCCACCGCAGCGGAAGAGGAGACCAAGGACTGCGGCTTCCTCTCCCAGGAGATGCATGATGTCTTTCGACCTCACTGCCGTGCTGCATGCTTGCCATGGAAGATCCTGCAAGTCTCTGGTTAATAAGATAGGTTTGAGGCAGTTTGAAGCTGATGGGGACTTGGGAGGAAGAGGAAGTGGACTTCGAAGGCTTTGGTGTTCCGGCTAGGAACAAAACTTGGATCTACTTCGTAACTTGCATGGGAGGGTGCGCGTCTACATGTGCACATGCACATCTCACAGCTGAAGAAACAGAGACTCCCCAAAGCTGACAACGTTAAGACTACCCAAGAATGCCCATCAAAATAAATGGTTGTTACCAGTGTTCCCTCTAAGCTGAGCTAGTGGGAGCTAGCTCGGTTTTTTAGCCTCCAGCTCACACATTTTTGTCTTCGCTCAGGAAGGAGGGCTCCAGAGCAAACTAATCTATGCAGTAGCCAAATCGCTCACTCACAACTTTAATGCCAGTAGCTCACAAATTAGAATATTTGCTCACAAGACTCCACAGCTTAGAGGGAGCATTGGTTGTTACTACATTCTTCTTGCATTCTCTCTCTCATATATATATATATATATATATCTGTCTGTCTTTAATGGCGAAGGATGCCATTTAATATCTTCACGCCGAAGGTGTTGAGGTACCCCCGACTCCCACTAGAGGAAGAGTTGAGTCATTGTGGGGCCAGCTGGTGATGAGTCTGACCTAGAATTGCCAATCCCCCAATGTGGGTGAGGTCTTCCCCGGTTTTGGGCCCCCAATCCGCCGCCGGCCAGCTGGGGTTGCCCCGCCGCCCCAAGAGTCCCAGTGTGCCAAACATGCCCGGCGCAATGATGTCACCCGGAGGTGATGTCATTACATGGGGCACGCTGTTCAGGGGATGCTCTAGTATTCGGGTAAAAGCTCTATGGTGACTGTAGAGTCTTTACCTGAATACTCGAGCATCCCCCAAACGACGTGCCCAGCACAATGACGTCACTTCCGGGTGACGTCATCACGGGGCACGCGCTGTGCATGTTCCAGAACAGTCCCGGGGCCGGCCTGGAGCCCCCCGCTGGGATGAAGGTAAGACCTGGCAACCCTAGTCTGACCAGCCACAGTGGGAAACCCCCTTGGCTACCTGGCCAGTGCAAACAACACAGAAGTGGCCCAGCAGAGGAGCGGGGGCTGGCAGTGTCAATTATGGGGTTAAAACACGGAACATAAGAACATAAGAGACGCCAATGTTGGATCAGGCCAAAGGCCCATCCAGTCCAACACTCTGTGTCACACAGTGGCCAGAAATACCAGGTGCCATCAGGAGGTCCACCAGTGGGGCCAGGACATTAGAAGCCCTCCCACTGTTGCCCCCCCCCCCGCACCAAGAATACAGAGCATCCCTTGCCCCAGCCTGAGAGTTCCTACCTATACCTTGTGGCTAATAGCCAGCGATGGACCTCTGCCCCATACGTCTATATGAACACCCAGCAGCTAGGATCAGATCTCCTTTCATGACCAAGACATCTTTTAATACAGGAATTCTTTCTTCGTCTACCTACGCTATGGACTGGATCGATCCCGTTGGTCAGCCGTGTTGGTCTGAAGCAGTAGAACAAATTTAGAGTCCCGTAGCACCTTTAAGACCAACAAAGGTTTATTCAAGGTATGGACTTTCGTGTGCATGCACACTTTATCAGATACTTTATCATATCTGATCAAGTGTCTGTGGACACGAAAGCTCGTACCTTGAATAAACCTTTGTAGGTCCTAAAGGTGGCACTGGACTATAAATCTATTCTATTGACTGGATGCCACTGTAGACCATTTGGCCGCTTTCTTTTTTTAAATTTTTATTGGGTTTTAATATATTATGGGAGAAAAAATATAAGGGTGAGAAGGGTACAAGGTGTGGGATGTGACATAAAGGAAAATTTTATCACATTTGTGTAACAGCTGTTACACATTTTCAGTCTTAATTCTTTGTTTCCAGTTCTGTTTCTTTGTATAATTGCTAAGGTTAGTATCACTTCATCGCTGACATATTCTGTTATGTTTCCTGATAAGAGTCTAATTCTCTATCGTTCAAATCGGAGTTTCTCCAAATTTATATTATGCTTATTCATTGTTCTTGGTCTTTGAGGTTTCTTTCCACCCAGTCATAAAATAGTGTCCAGCTATTTCGTAAGTTTCGTTAACTTCTGCCCTTCCATTTCTGCAATTCCGATTTTTTTTGTCAAAAGTTCATTTTCTGTTAGTATCTCTGCTTTCTTTCTTCGGCCGCTTTCTGAACTACCTGGGACTTCCCCAGGCAGGGTTTTTATTACAGAGGGAAGGCCCCCCCCCCCCACTTTTCCTGCTCCTTGTGATGGGTCCCTTAGCTCCAGTTTTAAAAGGCTCAAAGGGGGGGGGAGAACATGGTTTCTCCCCACCTATATTCAAGAAGACACTGTGTTTCTCTGCCCATGAGCCTGGCTCAGTAGGGCAGTCTGGTTTCTAAATCTGCAATGCTCTGTTAATCTCCGGACGTTATCAAGCGCTAGCAGAAAAAGGATTTGGGGCCGGGGTGTGTGTTTCCAACTTAGACGGTCATTAAAAGCCACACAGAGGACAGGATTCTGTGTATTTGGGCTGGAGGCCCCGCTGGTGGAGGGAAGTAAAGGAAAAATGCCTTGGCCCAGCCGGTCCCTTTCGTTTGGTAAAGCTCCAGAATGGGGGAATGAAGGCAACGCACCAATTCCTGAAAATTCCACTCTGTCTGTAAGGGAGCCACAGGAGGGTTGGCTGGAGCCCAGCATAAGATGAGGCCTCGGCGAATGTTGTTTTGTCGCAGTGTGGAGAGGAGACAGGTGGGTCCAGAGAAATTTTATGGGCCGATGGGTGTTTGATCAGTGGAAGGAATACTCCACTAGGTGTTATTGCCATCCTGTGCCTTCCGCAGTTTATTTTATTTTATTTATTTTATATTTATTATCAAATTTATACCCCGCCCTCCCCGCAAAAAAATTATTTATTTATTTAATTTGTGCCCCACCCTCCCTGCTGAAGCAGGCTCAGGGCAGCTAACAAGGCCATTTGCTCAGTTGCTCATGCGATGCCCAGGGTTGCCAACCTCCAGGTGGGGCCTGGAGATCTCCCAGTATTACAGCTAACCTCTAGATGACAAATCATAGAATCATAGAGTTGGAGGGGACCTCCAGGGTCATCAAGTCCAACCCCCTGCGCAATGCAGGAAATTCACAAATACCTCCCCCCCCACACACACACACCCAGCGTCCTCTGTTCCGCATCCAGAAGATGACAAAAAAACCCTCCAGGATCTCCAGCCAAACTGGCCTGGAGAAAAATTGCTTCCTGACCCCAAAGTGGTGATCAGCATTTCCCTGGGCGCGTAAGAAAGGGCCACAAGATCAGCTCCCCTGGAGGAAATGGAGGGTGAGCTGTATGACATTGTACCTTGCTGAGGTCCCTCCCCTCCCCAAACTCCGCCCTCCTCAGTCACTACCCCCAAAATCTCCAGGTATTTCCCAACCTGGAGCCGGCAATCCTAGTAGATGCCCCTTTCCTATTGGGTGAGCCCAATACTGT